TTTCAAAACGCTATCACTTCCGAACCGGTAGTCGGATCGAAATTTGATTTGCAGATTCGGATTCCTGACAAAATTCTACCCCTAATTCATAACTCATACGTTAAATTTGGAGATTTTTTATTTTGACCTAGTTTTCGGACACGCCATAACTTCCGAACCGGAAGTCGGATCGACATTTGGTTTGCAGATTCGGATTCCTGACAGAATTCTACCCTTAATTCATAACTCATATATTCAATTTGGAGAACTTTTTATTTTGACCTACTTTTCGGACACCATATCTCAAAAGTGGGTCAAAATACTTTCTGACGGCAAAAGGCTAACACTATTAGCATATTCTTGGCTACATGTATACACAATTTCGAAGAATATAATTAAAGTGTAGTGTCAGAATCGAAAAAATAAGGAAAACCTATGAATTTGACCTAGATTTTGGCCTAGGCATTTCGGTGTCCAAATTTTGAAGCTAGATGGCTTTTGAGGTCTCCTTCTTTTAAAGACTTTGATTATATGAAGCTGAACTCAGTCTTTATTCCGTATTTTTCACTTCAAAAAAATATTTTTTCCCATTGACTTAACATGGGCACCAAATTTAGCGATTTTTGAGTTTTCAAAACGCCATAACTTCCGAATTGGAAGTCGGATCGAAATTTCGTTTTCAGATTCGGAATTCTGAGAAAATTTCCTATAAGACTAATATCCTGGACATTTGATTCGGAGAACTTTTTTTTGGACCTCGTTTTCGAACACTGATATCTCGAAATCGGTTTGAGATATCAAAAAACTAAATCGACCCTAGGTTTCCTACTTTTTTATAAGGAACACAATGAAAAAAAACCGGATCAAAAATATTGAAGGATGACCGAGAAAATTGAAAAAAGTGACAAAGTACTGGATTTGACCTAGATCTTGACCTTTGACCTAGATAAAAATTTGACCCAATTTCCAGAGAACTAGATACTGAACCTAAATTGACCAAATGATTGACTTTACTGAAGACCTTATGGTTATTGAGAAAACTGGGATAGAATAATAAGAAGAATAATAATAATAACTAGATTTTGGAAATTGAACGAGTTCAATTTCAGACTCCAGATCTAGACTTTTTTTAGCCGAGTCATCCAGAATAAGCCGAGTCATCCAGAATAAGCTGAGTCATCTAGAAAGAGATGGATAATTAAAATAGGAAGGTAGGATAGGATAGAATAGGAAAGAACGATGGGATAGAATAAGAAAGAAGGATAGGATAGAATAGAATAGGAAGAAAGGATATGATAGGATAGGAAGGATAGGAAGGAAAAAATATGAAGGAAGGATAGATAGGAAGGATAGGATAGGATTTTTCAATATTTTCTTCTCTACTTTTGACTGTCTATCAGGATACCATCAGATCGATTTTTCTCGAAATTTCAAAACGCTATAACTTCCGAACCGGAAATTTGGTTTGCACATTCGGATTCCTGACAAAATTCTGCCCCTAATTCATAACTCATACGTTAAATTTGGAGATTTTTTATTTTGACCTACTTTTCGGACACGCCATAACTTCCGAACCGGAAGTCGGATCGAAATTTGGTTTGCAGATCCGGATTCCTGACAGAATTCTACCCTTAATTCATAACTCATATATTAAATTTGGAGAACTTTTTATTTTGACCTACTTTTCGGACACCATATTTCAAAAGTGGATCAAAATACTTTCTGACGGCAAAAGGCTAACACTATAAGCATATTCTTGGCTACATGTATACACAATTTCGAAGAATATAATTAAAGTGTAGTGTCAGAATCGAAAAAATAAGGAAAACCTATGAATTTGACCTAGATTTTGACCTAGGCATTTCGGTGTCCAAATTTTGAAGCTAGATGGCTTTTGAGGTCTCCTTCTTTTAAAGGCTTTGATTATATGAAGCTGAACTCAGTCTTTATTCCGTATTTTTCACTTCAAAAAAATATTTGTTCCCATTGACTTAACATGGGCACCAAATTTAGCGATTTTTGAGTTTTCAAAACGCCATAACTTCCGAACTGGAAGTCGGATCGAAATTTCGTTTTCAGATTCGGAATTCTGAGAAAATTTCCTATAAGACTAATATCCTGGACATTTGATTCGGAGAACTTTTTTTTGGACCTCGTTTTCGGACACAGATATCTCGAAATCGGTTTGAGATATCAAAAAACTAAATCGACCTTACGTTTCCTACTTTTTTATAAGGAACACAATGAAAAAAACCCGGATCAAAAATATTGAAGAATGACCGAGAAAATCGAAAAAAGTGACAAAGTACTGGATTTGACCTAGTTCTTGACCTTTGACCTAGATAAAAATTTGACCCAATTTCCAGAGAACTAGATACTGAACCTAAATTGACCAAATGATTGACTTTACTGAAGACCTTATGGTTATTGAGAAAACTGAGTTAGAATAATAAGAAGAAGAAGAATAATAATAACTAGATTTTGGAAATTGAACGAAGTTCAATTTCAGACTCCAGATCTAGACTTTTTTTTAGCCGAGTCATCCAGAATAAGCCGAGTCATCCAGAATAAGCTGAGTCATCTAGAAAGAGATGGATAAATAAAATAGGAAGGTAGGATAGGATAGAATAGGAAAGAACGATAGGATAGAATAAGAAAGAAGGATAGGATAGAATAGAATAGGAAGAAAGGATAGGATAGGATAGGAAGGAAAAGATAGGAAGGAAGGATAGATAGGAAGGATAGGGTAGGATGAGATAGGAAGGATGGATGAATTTTTCAATATTTTCTTCTCTACTCTTGACTTTCTATCAGGATACCATCAGATCGATTTTTCTCGAAATTTCAAAACGCTATCACTTCCGAACCGGAAGTCGGATCGAAATTTGGTTTTCAGATTCGGATTCCTGACAAAATTCTACCCCTAATTCATAACTCATACGTTAAATTTGGAGATTTTTTATTTTGACCTTCTTTTCGGACACGCCATAACTTCCGAACCGGAAGTCGGATTGAAATTTGGTTTGCAGATTCAAAATCCTGACAGAATTCTACCTTTAATTCATAACTCATATATTCAATTTGGAGAACTTTTTATTTTGACCTACTTTTCGGACACCATATCTCAAAAGTGGGTCAAAATACTTTCTGACGGCAAAAGGCTAACACTATTAGCATATTCTTGGCTACATGTATACAGAATTTCGAAGAATATAATTAAAGTGTAGTGTCAGAATCGAAAAAATAAGGAAAACCTATGAATTTGACCTAGATTTTGAACTAGGCATTTCGGTGTCCAAATTGTGAAGCTAGATGGCTTTTGAGGTCCCCTTCTTTTAAAGGCTTTGATTATATGAAGCTGAACTCAGTCTATATTCCGTATTTTTCACTTCAAAAAAATATTTTTTCCCATTGACTTAACATGGGCACCAAATTTAGCGATTTCTGAGTTTTCAAAACGCCATAACTTCCGAACTGGAAGTCAGATCCAAATTTCGTTTTTAGATTCGGAATCCTGAGAAAATTTCCTATAAGACTAATATTCTTAACATTTGATTCGGAGAACTTTGTTTTGGACCTCGTTTTCGGACACTGATATCTCGAAATCGGTTTGAGATATCAAAAAACTAAATCGACCCTAGGTTTCCTACTTTTTTATAAGGAACACAATGAAAAAAACCCGGATCAAAAATATTGAAGGACGACCGAGAAAATCGAAAAAAGTGACAAAGTACTGGATTTGACCTAGTTCTTGACCTTTGACCTAGATAAAAATTTGACCCAATTTCCGAGGAACTAGATTCTGAACCTAAATTGACCAACCGATTGACTTTACTGAAGACCCTATGGTTATTGAGAAAACGTGCCTGGAATAATAATAATAATAATAAGAAAACTGACGAAAACAATAGACTCCAGATTTCATCTGGAGTCTAATAATAAGAAAACTGACGAAAACAATAGACTCCAGATTTCATCTGGAGTCTAATAATAATAAGAAAACTGACGAAAACAATAGACTCCAGATTTCATCTGGAGTCTAATAATAAAAATTTGACCTAATTTCCCAGAAACTAGGTCTCATTACCTATTTAACCATGTAAGCAGATTTCAGAAAGTCCCTCTAGTTGCTGAGAAAACGCGCAAAGAAAGAATAATAATAATAAGAAAACTGGCAAAAGCAATAGACTCCAGATTTTCAATCTGGAGTCTAATAAAGAAAACTGACGAAAGCAATAGACTCCAGATTTTCATCTGGAGTCTAATAATAATAATAATAATAAGAAGAAGAAAAAGAATAATAAGAAAACTGACGAAAACAATAGACTCCAGATTTCATCTGGAGTCTAATAATAAGAATACTGGCAAAAACAATAGACTCCAGATTGACATCTGGAGTCTAATAAGAATAATAAGAATAAGAAAACTGACGAAAACAATAGACTCCAGATTTCATCTGGAGTCTAATAACCATGTTTAGCAGAACACGGAAAAATATTTTAATATGGTCAACATTGGTCACTTAAAAATGTGGTGCTCAATTCCAGTAGGCTGCCATCTTAAGATTTCACTCAGGAAGTGATGTCATCGACTCTCAACTTTGTATATAATATTAGGCAAGGAGCTACTAAGAATTACAAAACCAGCTGAATATTATTTTTCAAATTTGTCTCCTATTTAATCCTTTTAAGAGTCTCTTCTTTTATTCTAATCTGACAAGCTCTGAAAATATTTTTGTACATAAAGTAAGGACCGATTTTGTGTTACTTTCTTATCCTGTTATAGCCAAGGTCATGAAAGTTGAGAGTTGATGACATCACTTCCTGAGTGAAATCTTAAAAGATGGCAGCTTACTGGAAATGAGGACTACATTTTTTAAATGATCAATATTGACTATATTAAAACATTTCCCATGTTTTGCTAAATATGGAAAGCATAAATATGATTAAGGCTACCATAGCAGGATAGAAATGGTCTGGCCAGGAATGTCCCTTTAAGCTGTGTATTTTGTGTGTTTCCAGGCTCAGGGAGTTATGATGTGAATGCAATGAATGAAGCAGCATGGGAAGCTGCCCAGGCCAATCTAGCTCCATGCAAGAATTGTGGGAGAACATTCCTTCCTGATAGACTCATTGTGCATCTACGCAGCTGTAAACCCAAACCTCCTCCAGATATGTAGACTTTTACGGATGTACTCATAAGCCTCCTGGTCGTTATATAAACATTAAGTGCTGTAGACCCAAGAAGTTGTACATCTACCATCTACATCACAATGAAAAACAAATTTTATTTAATGTGGAAAATTGAATATTATTATCTGAATGGATTTCATAGTGCTTCATGTTCTCATTTGTAAATATTAATCTGAGTACCATTAGTTTCTGTTGTACATTCTGACTTACCAGCCCCCTCTTGTCCTTTGCTGGCAAGGGGCAAATAACCTACTAAGGGGTGACTACTATATGGTTCTGGTATATTAACTAATACACATTGCAATTGTTTTCAATTAAGGGATATTTATTATGTACTCTTAGACTTATTAAGACATATCTTTAACCATTAATACCATCATGGATACATTGTACGTTGATCTTTATTTGTCTCATTTATCAAACACAATAATTATAATTGATGTCCCAAACAATCACTGGCAGTAACCCACCTGTGATTTTTTATGGTAAAATATTTGAAAAGGATAATAGGCAGTTTTTTGCTTGCAATGTTTCTCACAACCTAAACGTGAACAGAAAATATTTAAGAAATGCATTTGTATGGGCAATTGGTCATAGGTATAGGTTGGCGTTTTGATTTTATGTGCAAGCTTAAACTCCCTATTTTCTAAAAGTTAACCGTTTTCCCATTCTTGGTCCAAGGGTATTTCACTTCATTCCGTAGCTGCTTTCAATTTGCCACAGCCCAGAGATGCTGTTTCTCATCACATTCACATTTGTAGTATAGATGGTGCTAGTGTATTGACATATAAAACTTGGCCATTTTTTCAGATTACACCAACGGAAAGTGAAATTTAAGGAATATTTGATTAAAGTGCCAATATTTTTTTGTAATTTAATTCTGATCTTAAATAAATGTATCAAATTTTACTTATTCTCTCTTTTCTTGGATTTGGTCCTTTCCGATTATATACAGAAACCTGTGAGTCAAAACAAATTATTTGTCCTAATCTTCGAAATTTCTCTACATTTTGCTCAAGTAATATGTGAAGATAAATATTTTAAGAATTTATTTTTGTACCCTATGGCATTTAAAATTATTTTCACTTGCTATAAAATGTCAGAATGTAGCTTCATGTAATGTTGTATAAAGTTGCTTCAGCGCAATTTTAGATCTGTTATTTTTATAAACTAAAGGCTTTCATTATTTATAGCATTGTATTTTTCTGTTTAGCCTACATAATAAAGTTATTTATATTTATTAGAATAAATATGATTAAAAAAGAAATAAATTATTTATGCTTTACTGAGTGTTAATGTTGTAATATTGGTATAATATCATTTAAGCTATTCATTTAAGTGTTTTACAACAGTTTAACCTTTAAAAGGTGAATTATGTAAAATAAAAAGCATATTTATAGTTTAATGTGAATTTCAAATATTTATCATATTAATAATTTATAATATATAAAATAATATTACCAAATATGCAATTCTCAAACAACTCAGAGAGAAATATGTCAAAGCTAAACTTTTTTAAAACTACTTTTAATTGGCATGGCAAGGTACATGTAGGGTAGCAATTTCAGGTGAAAATCAGAACCTGTTGAAATCAGTCCCATTTCTATGTCACCGTCCCAAGTGGTGACAAAATGTTACAGTCTCCACCTTTTTTGTGGATGGTGTTGTCTGGCAGGTGGTGTCGGTAACAAATGGCAAGGTGTGACATTTGTATTGTTTTACAGTTTCAATTTATAACAAATATCATACATCAAACAAATTTTTCACAATCTATTGACATGATTGACAGTGCTCAATTCAATGCTATTCTGATGTAACACATTCTATGTTGATGTTTATAAAATTCCAGGCCTATAATTTCAAGATCAAAAACTCAGTGTACATCTAGGTTGTTTTGAATTACTGATTGATGAGTAAGTTATGTTTTGTTCATTCATAATTTTTCTCATATGACTAACAAAGATACAGCCATCTTTACCCCATGCAAGATATTGCCATCTTTCATCCCTAAAAAGTCACACATGTAAGATGAGATTTACTTGTGACATCACTTGTTTATAAACATCATCAACATAGCAACAGATAAACTGTCGAGTATCCATGCTCATTCTACAAAACTTAGCTGGGACGTCATAACAATGGAGCCTTGTTGCCACGCGAACCCATGTATTTTCTACAAAATTTCTATGATGTCATTAAAATTGAAATATGAAGTTCCATTAATTTGAAGCTATTTTCACGCAGTTTTTTTCATTAAAAGGAGAAGAACTTTCTTGTACTCGTACCTGTGCAATATCGTCCATTCTTGACTCACTTTGTTAATGTTTCTTCATCTCATCTTCGACTCGATAAAGAAGACGATCTTGCACAGGTACTCAAACAAGAACCTCTCTATCTACGAGATATTCCTTTTCAATGCAGTATCCGCTTTTATCCTTGCTAATCTTTCTGGGAAAGTGCAGCCTAAGTGGCAATCCAGCAACTTACATGAGAATTTTAAATAAACTCAAAACCTGATTCTCATTGGTAAGTATTTTCATATATTTCACACATAATAATCGATACAAACTTGCAAATTTGCTACATAAAATGTACACACGTAATATATATATATATGTAAATATGTACACTGGTACATGAGCAGTACATGTATGTACAGGCTTAGGATCCATGATGGATGAAAACAGATAAGTTTCATGAATAAATAGAGGTGAGACATTAATCTAGATACTCCATGACAGCCAGGTAATGTATAATTATCCCATCGAACCAAGTTCAGAGAGATATAGGGAATGTGCCCTTCATCTGTCTGTTTGTCCTTCCGATTTTCAAAATGGCAGCTCATCAAAACAAAAGGTGGCCATTTTAGTGCCAATTTTAAAGTAATTTAGGTACAATACGTAAACCTGTAATAGTGCAATATGTTTTAAATGTAAAAAATTATATAGGACACTAATAAAGCTAGATATGTAGATATCGAAGAACCACATGGCAGCCATCTTGTAAAATGGTGGCCTTTACATGCTATTCTATGTTTTTTGCTTTAACTTGAAAAGTATTGGAGCGATTTTGTTCATATTTGGTGCGTGAATACTATAAGCATGGCACACTGTCTAATGACACTTTTGGCAGTAGGCGCCCATTTTGAAAAATGGCCACCATTTACCATTTTTTACTATAACTCGAAAAGTAGTGGAGCAATTTTGTTCATATTTGGGATGTGAATACTATAAGCATAGCACACTGTCTCATGACACTTTTGGTAGAAAGCGCCGATTTTGAAAAATGGCTGAGCGATTTTGTTCATATTTGATATGCGAATACTATAAGCATGGCACACTGTCTAATGACACTTTGGGGAGTAGGTGGACATTATTTATTTTGTAAAAATGCCAGCAATGGCTGTTCGATGGGATTTGCTACACTTTGGTGTTGCTGTCGTTTAATTAATATTGATGTAATATTTATGTCATGATAAGTGATGAGAGATTAATGACTTAATAATATATTCCAAAAGTTTTTTTTCAAATTCCAATTGTCCTTTCAATATATTAATCCACTCCACTGATTCAAATCATGGTGCATGCACATACTGGAACACCTGAGAAAAGAACAAACTTTTCAAGTGTAGAACAGTGCACACAAAATTCAGAGGAGTTCGTGAAACGACAAGAGGTGTCACAGAACAAAAAATTATCAGAACAGTTCGGTTCGAAACATTGGCTTCAGAACGAGACAATTTTGGAATGGCTGGGAACAAAATGACTGCATGTATTAGATTAAAATAAGTTGGTAGACTAGGTCCATCTGGGTGCGAAAAGATCTTCAAAACTCTTCAACGAAGAGTGAAAAAATGAACTTCTCTCTGTGCAAAAAACACTGTTTTGTGGTGATTTGAGGGCCAAAATATGCGAAAAGGTAAGTTTTTCTTGTTCTAAAACCGAAACGTAATGGTGAATTTTTGTTCCATGTTCCGACTCGAGAGCCAAATTCTGCGGGACAGAACAAAATGGGTTATCCATGACACCTCTATAAATGTGTTCATTCCTTTATTCCAGTGTGACATCTGCTAGTTGTTTCTCCCCTGCTTGGTACTCCTCAGATTCCTTAAGGTCAGCCTCACTCTCCTGGAAACATGAAATATACAAATATTTAATTATATTTTCGGTGAATACCTGTGCATCTTTCACAAGTGATATTCCACGAAGCTTGAAATATTGCTCATTATATTTTAGTCACCTGTATTGTATTGTATTTTGTTTACCACCAATGAAGGTAAGCAATACCTCTTGGGTATATCCCATACATGTATGTATACGGTCATAATTAACCCATAATCATGGAAGGCAGATCCAGGAACCCCTCCTTGAAGGTGCCCTGTGTTCTTTTATGTGCACTCATACATTATACAAGTACACACCACAACCTTTTTACGAGCCATGGACCACTCAGTCAAACACCCTGAACTACTTTACACAACAAGCAAAGTGCCTAAACCGCTGATCGAATCCAGGACCTATGCATAATTGGTACATGTGCTCTACCACCAACCACACAATGTTTCATAACTTTTTTGTCTGTAGAAATTCTGACTTGTTTTTTTCACACATTGAAACTACCCTCCATTATGCAACTCCACAAGAAGTTTCAGATGATAACTCACCTAGATGCACATATATGAGCGTTACAAAATGTGTATCAACAACAACTACATTATTTTGTGTTTAATCAAATGGACTTTATTTCTCTGAAAGTACAAACCAAAATCATTAGTATTTACAAAGTTATGTTACAAAATATGAGTGGAATTTTTTGCGTAGAATCCATTTGTGTCTCAAAGGAATGAACGACATCCAGAGTAAATGTTGTAACGCTCACAAAATTTGACGCACTTGAGCTATACATCTGAAATGTGCCATTTTTTGTGTCCCCTTGTATAATAAATAGAGCAGTCGAAATGTTGAGGCATGCGCAGACCTCTATTTAGTGATATTTTCATTTCAAATATGGCGGCCAATCCGATGTCTGACGACCCTTACAAAGAATCTAGGCAGTTTGCATTTTTACCTCCTGTGAAATAACAAGTGGAATTTAGTAGTTGTTTTGTGTTTTATTATCATTCTGCATCGTAATTCTATGTGATGTGGTGTTGAAATGTCAGCAGAAATACATATCCATACGATAATCGAGTGAATCAGATATCAGATTTTTCGAAAACCCGTCTCGTGCTAAGAGTGTAAAAACTTGTATTAACATGCTCAAAAGTGCCAATGTGCACATCAATGTCAAGCTAAATCAATGTTGTGTCTAAAACAGGTACCCGATCTACTCAAAACAGCTTGTCATTCACGTATACACGCTTAGCAAACACAGCGAAATGACCTGAATCTTGGAATTTTGTTCGAGAGCTAGTAATGTTTGCTCCGGTCTTCGACATAAGTGTTCATCAGACTTCACGCATGCGCAGGAGAAAAACCATCAACCAATAAGGTTTATAAATCAATTTTGCGCATGCGCCTTACAACGGTAAAGAAATTCGTATTTATAAACGAACCAGTTTGAGATAACCCGATATCAGTCGGAGAAATCTGACGATCTACGAAACTCACTTCAAAAAATCAAATGCGGACTGACGGCGTATTCGACTATGTTTGGATCTAAGATTTTCAGTATAGATAAATTCTTTTATGATCTTTCGAATGAGGTAAGTCTCTAGTTCGAAAGACAATCGTATCAACTTGAACAAAAGTTGAGTTTTGACGAAAAATTTTAACATGCGCAGAAGTCCCATTTTCGTTGTACCATATTGACTGAGAGGATGTTCTTTTTATTCCATAGTTAAAGTCATCATCAGAATCCTCGGAAATTAAGTGATTTAATTCGAATTTTCCAAACGATCCGGCGATGTTGACACTTAGCCTCGTTTTGAGTCTGAAGTAGCAAAAATCCATAAACCATCGCATATGGCACCGTATGTCATGGCTAAAAAACCGTATGCTATGGTTAAGTGAAAATTTGTCAAAAATATCATATTTCACCACTGATTACAAAATACCATTTTTATTTTCACATGTTATCCTATGAATATCATGCTTACTTTGGAATAATATTCAATATTTCATTTTTCTGTATTAACTCTTCCAGCATAACAACATGTTTGAATATTGTTTTCATTTTTTTCACTTGCACATTACAAAAAGGTAAATTACATTATTTTTTAGCCTGAACCTTGGATTCAAACGTTTTATTTAGGACATTTTGAATTTCAATGGTATACCCTATAAAATTTGAACCGCATATTTAAGATGGTCTCAAAAACGGGTTTCCATTATATAAATTATAATGTACTTTCATATTATGTGGTAATAAAGGATACAATACAATACGGAAGCCTTTTTCAGGACCTAAATATTGCACTAAAAACAGCAGAACTGCTGGGAGATAAGGGAGAATATCACAATATGAAGCCTAGTTCAAATGTTATGCAAATGTACTCACCAAAACTTTCTTGAGGTCTTCATATGCAGTTTTTAACCTACGACCAGTGTCAGGAATCATTGCCTTCGACTCTTGCAGCACTTCTTGCTGGAGTTATATAATAATGAGTGGTAAGTCAGTTAGTAAGCAAAATTAAAATTCATATCTGGAATATACAAAAGGCCAAAAAACAAGTACAGTTATCAACATTAAAGCTATTATACAGGGTGTCCAAAAAGTAATCCCCCCATAGGCAGACATACACCAATGTTGTCATAGTATGTACCATATATCATTTTAAAGCTAATCCAAAGTTACATTGATTTGCCAAGTATCATTGTTCAACTCTCAAATGGGATAAAGTTAGTCATTTTAAAATTAAGTGTTTGGCCAAAATAAATTTTACATCACATTACAGCAGCAGCAGAATTCAAACACCTCTTGGACTGGTCAAAAGTGTTCAGTAGAGAGGTGTTCGAATATACAGATTTTACTGTAATTTAAATGAAGAAAAGGCATTAATAGGTATGACCACCAATGGTTACCTGTTTCCTGATATCATGTTCATCTTTTCCATCTGATTTCATCTTCTCAATCTTTGCTTCTTGGTCGACAATCTCTTTCTCATACATCTGCTTCTCCTTTGCTAACCTGAATTGAGTAGAATGTTTCGTTCATTAAAGCCAGATTACTCATTAGGTTTCTCCCCAGACAATTAGTGATATCCCATTATAATTGCTTTAATAATATCTTACATACATGTACCTTAGATGTATCTTAAGACAAGTAAGACCAACTTATGGGAATATCATTGCTGATATATTATGCAAATTGACAGAACAATCAACTGTCAGAATTGAACACAATTGAGTTTGATCGCAGCAATTGAGGGAAACACTTTCAAATGGAACACGACCATCGCCAAACTCAGCACATGTCTTGAGACAGGCAGTCAATCAGATTCAAAGCCGTTTTTTAATTTATTTAAGAACTGTCGTTACATTACCATACTGATAAACAAATTTAATGACCAATCAGAAAACATATGGTTTCCCTGGTCAATTACACTGTCTCCGGAATCCAGATAGCCCGATATGGTTAGAAAAAGGATACTTTAGAATGTTATGCACCGATTTAAGTAGCGTAAATGTTTCCAAGATTTCTTACATTTTTGTAAAAGACCTTGAACATGGGCTGGGAATATCGACATATGCAAACTAAGTAAATCGAAGGTAAACTGTCTCATGCCATACAGTGTGAAGCTAATAGAAGGCCATGATATCTCATGATGACCTTAAATCAGCAACTTTGAAGTAGATAAGCTGAAGTAAGCTATGATGTAAACCATATACTGCAGTAGTGCTGATTACCCAGCCACATCATCAACAGCATTAGAAACATGACATCATAAATGAATCATACAAGTACATGTACATGACACATGACATCATCAACAGCATCAGAAGCATGATGTCATGAATGAATCATACAAGTACATGAACACACCACCCCCCCCTCCCTGTACTCTTATTCCCCGCTGAACTGTAAAGGGTCTGTGCTGATATATACATTCTAGGCTATGAGACAAAACAAATTATTCTTAGGCTAGCCTACAAGTTAGGCCTACAACCTCAAAATTCCAAAAAGATTTAAAAAATTGAAAAATTATCAAATAATTTTTAATTTTCTCAAAAAATTAGGGTTCTCAACATACCTCTTGACGACACCTGTCTTGATCTTGATCTGACGTATTCTTGGATCTTGTGCAGCCATAATTTTGTTGTTTGATTTTGTTGTTGGGAGATGAAATTCTATTTTACTGCCAGCAAAATTGTCTTCCCAGTTTCCCTCGCAAATATTTCGAACGGAAGTTCAAACCCGGAAGTGATAAAGGTCAAGGTCAGATCTGTCAAATAGTAAAATTTGGATTTTTTTGTTACTTCTTTAGGATTTGAAGAGACAATGAGCTTAGAAATAAGACAATTAACAATTAAAGATGTTCCCGGTGCTTGGGAGGTACTAAAGGATGGATCGAATAGTAACATTGGCGCATCGTTCCGATTAATACTCACAAGGCAGAGCACATGGATTTTCGCCTTCACCACACTTTACATGGCTTACGTCTATACTGGTTCCGTTGAAGTTACAGTTTGGACATTCATCTCATATTTTGCCGCAATTTATATATTTGTGATATGTGGATCATTATATTATATCTACGGCCCCCCATTGGCTGATATGAGAAAACCAAAAGAAACGTACATGGTGCAGGACAATACTTCTTTTCTTGTCGCAGAAATGAATCGAAAAATTGTTGGAACCATCGCAATTGTGCCAAAACCACAAACCAGTACAAATACCAGTAAGGACAATGGCCATGAAATTGCTTGGTTACGCCGTATGGCTGTTTTACGAAAATACCGTGGAAGAGGAATTGCCAAGAAACTCTTGCGTGCAGCTATTCTGTTTAGTCGTAAGGCTAAGTACAAACAAATTGATCTAATAACAACAGATGTTCATTTTGCAGCTAGGAACTTATATACCAAAATGGGGTTTGAATGCATAAGCTATAAGCCTATAAGACGGTTGATTATTTTTGTGTGGACATATGAATTTACTCTTCAGTTGTGATGATACACGATTATTAGGAAAATGATGATGATGATGACAACAGCGGATTGGTGAAATCACATTATAATTATGTAAAAATTTTACTGACATCAAATAAACCTAATATTTTCCTAATACGATCTCAATGAGTCCACAGAGTATAATATTAGCAATAAAAAATTCTTTCATCAAAGCAGCAAGAATAATTATTGTTTTTATCTGAATAGGCCTACTCACTACTGTAAATTGTTTTGATTTGAAGGCTGTTTTAATGTGATTGATTTGATTGATTGATAAAAACGTCCAAATTAAGTCTCTGACATTTTTTTGAAAAAAATCACTAGGACGTAAAAGGTCTCATTGAGAATTCTTTTAATATTTTGATTGAAACACCTTTTTTACATTTTTAGCTCATATAAAACCTCCCAGTGTCACTTAGAGTAACCTAGCCATATGACATCCTAGCTAGCCTTTCAATATCCAGAGGATCCGACCGATCCGTAGTCTCTTGAAGTAGCAGCATGAGTCGTATCCAGTGATCCTGGGTCTATCGTAAAATGAAAGCTTTGAATGTGTTATAGCCTTCCGAATTTCCAAATTTTGTGCCAATGAAAAAGTAGAAGGCAAAAAGTTGTGATAATTAGGCTAGACGATCTACGATTTCAGCGATGAGGTGCTTCGAGAAACGCAATTTGGAAAATCATGGAAAATATGGTAGAAATCAAAAGTTGTCAATCCGCGAATCGAAATTGATGATGTTTTCGAAAAACGGGCTCCTGCACAAGCTCCTGTCTTGGTATTCCTTATGATACTATTTATAAGTTTTCACTCAACTGCCAACTTGAATCAATTTCACTGGTTTTAAAATAACCATGGTTGGTTGGTTGTAATTTCAAGAATGCAGATTGTTTGAAATACTGTGTTCTGATTGACAGATTGATTGGCTGGAATATAATTTTTTTGAGAACTTTATGATAACCCCTCGTATATCTCACCTTGCTATGGATGAATATGTATGTTATGTAGGGGTCGCCTCAATAAAACATCATGTTGATGTGCGATTATTGAATTTTCCCCGTTTCGTTTATTATCCCAATGAACAAAGTTCAGTAGAGATATAGTGGAGTCCTCTGTCCGTCCGCCAGGCCGTCCGTCCATCCGGATGATAAGTTGAATACTAGTGGATTTGCTTCAAAATTGGTGGAAAGATGTATTTTTTTAAGATGGTCTCCGCTTTGGTGGGAATATTTGGCGAAAATCTTTAGTTTTTCATTTTAAACCCAAGAAATTAATATTATTGGTTGATATTTCGATAGTATATTCACCATCTATCTATATGTCACATATATTCCGAGTTTTTCAGGCTGAACACCAGGGGCTGTGTATGGGGGGTCGAGAAAACAGGAATTTGCGTTTAATCAAATTAAAGTATAGCTTTATTATATTATACTCAAATGAAAGCCAATTTAGAGTAGATTGCAAATGTTGTATCGGTTTTCTAATTTGGGCCTGGTAAAATTCAAAATGGCTGCCTTAAAGGAACATTCCTGGCCAAACCTTTTCTATCCTGATGTGATAGCGATAATCATATATATACTTTCTATATTTAGCAAAACATGGGGAAATGTTTTAATAGTCAATATTGATAATTTAAAAATGTAGTGCTCATTTCCAGTAAGCTGCCATCTTTTAAGATTTTACTCAGGAAGTGATGTCATCGACTCTCAACTTTCATGACCTTGCATATAACAGTATAGAAAAATAGCACAATATCACTTCTAGACGAGTGATCCTTACTTTGTGCGCAAAAATATGTTCAGAGCTTGTCAGCTTAGAATAAAAGAAGAGACTTTTAGAAAGATTAAATCATAGACAAAATTGAAAAAGAATATTCAGCTGGTTTTGTAATTCTTAATAGCTGCTTATAGTGTTATATGCAAAGTTGAGAGTCGATGACATCACTTCCTGAGTGAAATATTAAAAGATGGCAGCCTACTGGAATTCGGTACTACATTTTCAAGTGATCAATATTGACCATATCAAAACATTTTTTCCTGTTTTGCTAAATATGGAAAGTATACATATGGTTATAGCTACCATATTAGGAAAGAAATGGTCTGGCCAGGAATATTCCTTTAAGTGAAGCTGCTTATGTGTTACATCGCAATAATTTTCTGATCTTTACAAAGTATGGCTATATTAAACTCAAAATTGAAGGAGATGAACAATAGTTTCTCTTTATCCTAACTAGAGCATTGCCTGGTAGGATAACTTTCAAAGCCATGTCCCTATTAGGATCAGGTTATCAAATTGTACAGTGTGTTAACAAAGTCTACACAATTACAATACAAATGCTGTTTAAATGCTAGATATCATTTCTAGACACCCTGTATATTAGAAAATAGAACAGTCAGGCTCTTTTTTTTATTTTTTTATTGCAACTTACACAAACATCATACATGATATACACACATGTTTATATAATTATTTTACATAGGTACTATTTTCACCAGCTCGTCTCAATGTACAGAAGATTTCCAAACAATATAAGTTTTCAAAATGTTTACAGCACAATAGCCTTCAAAACATATAGAGGCTTACAGTTTTATAATATATAACTAGGTATCTTGAATATATAATAAATATAGAGTTATTGGCTTAATAATTCAATAACCATCTCCAAGACTTAAAGAAGGTGTATATCATTTAAATTTGAAATGTTTTGTTCATCTTTGATTTTATATTTTATGATTTCCTTGGTGTGGATAATGGTGATTTTAGTTTTAATCAGTCTGGATTTATGTATTAGGCTTTTTGGATATAATATACAAAAATGAATGGCTTTGGTTTCATACTCGTTTTCTTCATCTAACTTCCTTACAAATCTACCTTTATTTCTTAGGTCAACATTGAAAATTATGTATTAAGCTTTTTGCATATAAGAAACAAAAATTAATGGCTTTGGTTTCATACTCGTTTTCTTCATCTAATTTCCCTACAAATCTATATTCAATTTTGAAATCGTCCCAAATCTTGGCGGAGTTTGGGCACTCAATATAAAAGTGTATCATCAGTTTGGTTATTATTGCATTAATCGCACAAATTGTAATTTTGATCTTCTTTTGAGTTAAAAATTGATTGTTTGGTACAGTATTAGATTTAAAATGAGTTTGTATTGAAGATATTCTTTTCTTGGTTCTCGCACAGTCTTACAAGGTAAAGTGATAATATGTTTCAATTCTTCTTTTGCAACATTCAATTTTGTAATTAAGAAATTCTTACCAGTTGATTCTTTGAATAAATCCTCTATGATATACCGATAGGTAGTTTTAGTTTTAATAGCCCTGATGTTGATTGTGCTGTCTTTGATTTGAAGTTCATCATTTTTAAGCTTCTTAGTAATTGGATTATTTCTTATTGGATTATTTTTGTATATATTTATTTTTAATATTTTTCATTGCTTAATTTGACAATTCTATTTACACACATGCACACAAAGTATACATGTTGGGTAAATAGAGAAATTGAACATATGGCACATCATTACAACAGTGATAATAAAGATAAAAGGTACATACGATATAATCCTAATTATACAAATACACAGAAACGTAAAAAATGTTATGTTGCGTTGTCATGCAATTATCAATGTGAAAAAATTGAAAAATTAGAGATAATGAGAATTTTTAAAATTTACGGAATGTCAATGTAACAAAATGGATGACATGAGTGAGCGCAGAGAATGAGTCAAAAAATTGATATCCATGAGTGGATATAATTGATATTTTTTCAAAATCATAGGATTGCCTTTCATCCCATGGGAAATCACCGTGCGAAAAAAATGTTGAAGTTCAAGATATCAATATCCACTCATGGATATGAATATTTTTTACAAAACCATATGATATTGCTATAATATCAAAACCCATGAACAATTTCAAAAGGTAATTAAAGGTTGATGTCCACTCGTGTTCAGTGAGATTGAACTCTTCGTTGCAAGTTGAAGTATCGTTTCCCTTTGGGTTCTATGAATTGATCATTTACCAATACATTCGTTTTGTGTTGATATGTTTGACATTCATCATCGATTGTTGTTTGAATGTATGTTAAAACATAATATTTCTATCAAAGTCTAAAATAATACGAACATATGTTTGTATCTTTATTTCCCATGTTTCCCACATAAGCATGGATTTTTATATGAACATATATTACAAGTGCGACTTTGTGCGTTTACGCTAGTATTCTGTAGCATTATTAACAATAAAATTACAACTAGGGCTATAACTGTATAATGCAAAAATACTTAAAATTTTCTTAAAAAGTTTTTTACATAAGAGTCCAATAAAATACCATAGTAACATAGTCATGCCTCGTTCCCCAATAACCATTTCAATTTTGTGTTAGTTGGGGCGCTTAGATTATTTTGGTTATGTATGTGGGGATTTCATCCTCCAGTATTTTTAACCTATCACAAAACATTTTTATTTTAGACTGAGCATTTATAAAACTGGACATTTTAAGCTTCCATTTTGTGACTAGGTTAAATCTTAATACTATAGCAGTTAGAGCAATATCATTCACAATATTCACCGAGTCATGTGCTTAACTTCTTTTCACACATTGCAAAATATTTTGTAGAGTAACACTTTTAAAATAATGATTTTTTGCAAGGAAATCATTTGACCTGCATTAGCACCTGCCTCGGTATTCCTTATGATACTATTTTATGTTTTCACTCAACTGCCAATTCGCAATTATAAAACTGATGAGGGTAAACAATTTCACTCATTCTAAAAAAAACATGAGTTGTAATTTTAAAAATGGAGATTTTGGGATACTGTGTTCTGATTGACAGATTCATTGGCTGGAATATAGGTATTTTGCGGATTCCCGTGGGAGAGACCATGCCCCCCCCCCCTGGGAAGGCCCAGAAAAAGGTTGGGGCCAAAAATCTTGCAGAGCCTCCATAAGTGGGCCTTTTTGGGCATTACTTGGCCTTTTTGGGCCTTTTTAGGCCAAATTATCAAAAATGGGCTTCAAAAATTTGGGACAAATTTTGAATTTAGGGGCTTAAACATTTTTTCCACGCAAGCGCGGAATTTCTTTTCTGATTTTAAATCCACTTAGTTACCGCCGGTGTTCTGACTGGTTGAAATTGAAATGCGATATGTCATGTCCGAGAACCCTGTATCATATTATTATAATCTATTTTGCAAGGTCAATTCTTGAAATTGATATTTATGTAGTATACCTCAAAGCAACAACTTCGAGATTTGCCAGTAAAAATGGATTTATAATTCCCAGTGGGGTTTTGATGAGAATAGAACATTCTAAATCCTGCATCATATAATCGTCTTAATATATTATACATGTATGCAAATTCTGTTGTGTCCGACAACGTCCTTCCTTTGTGGATGTATTTGATTTCATCCTTGCTCCGTAATATTCCACTTGTAATGTGCCATTCGAAAACCAATTGCTTAACATTGTTCAGTACACCATCATCTAGCATTGTGCTAAGGGCCTCCCATTCGCAGTATTCACAGTCAATCTTGAGAATGTCAATTATTTTCTGAAAATGAAAAAAGTCAAGATTTTTAGATAACCAGGTTGCACCATTCTGATACTCATATCATCTTTCTGTTTCACCTGAAACATCTCGGGGCTGAGAGGATTTGAAATGTCATGGTATTACATGGGGTACATTACTACATTAGGCTATTCCTTGAAATACCGGGGTCTTTGAGTAACCATGACTAAATTCAAACCTTGTCATCGCCATTTTCTTTCAATAACGTTGACATCGTTTTCATCTCCCAGCCAAGCCAATTCTTTTCATTTTTACCGCTCAGCCCTTTGTTGTGGAACGATATAGACGGTGACCTCATATGTGATTCTTTCTTCATACTACAAACGGAAGCATCTATCACATTCACATTGCTATGTCAACCACAAATGGAGATTTTATGGATGTCATCTTTACGCTTATGGATTTCATATTGTTTTAGGAAAATTTATAGGAAATATTTTTAAAGCATAATTATTACTTCTGAAGTTATTATAGTTGGCAATTCTCTTGGGACCATAGAGAACTATTCATATATGATTTATATCGTCTAAGTGCTATTTTAATCAACTAGTTCTCTGTGACTTACACACGGAAATATCGATTGCCTGAGCTTACCTTGGGTCATATGCGTGAACAAAGCAACCTTGGTTCGATACAGCATCGTCGAATTTCCAATCGTTATTTATCCTAAAAAAATACACAAAAACTCTTGATCCAGTTGAAATATATACATACATTAAAAGCCCACTTCGCGTATTTTCAATGTATTTGGGCAAAATAAAGACTTTTTGAATTCTACAGAATGTTCAATGTATTGATAAGAACCCTATCTTTCATTTGACACCAACAACAGCTCAAACGGGTCACATCAAAGCTTACAATAATAAGTCAAAAAATATTATTGATCTGTCAAGCTTTATATATCAAGTTTTTTTATCAATGTCATTAAAAGATGGCGAAGTTGTTTGTATTACATGATACATTCATTTTCATAGAAGCGTCGCCATCTTTTAAATCAAAAGTAATTAAAAACATGCACTTTGTTTAGCATGTGCATGTTGGTCTCTGAACTTCAAATGCTTTTTTCTATGCGAGTTAATTTTTTCTTGGTTCAATATTAAAGCAAATCAAACTTTGTTTCATATTTGAGCGAGTGTGTTGGTGATATATGTTTCAATGATAATTTTTTTTCTTCTAAATTAAGTATAGTGGGCCTTTAATTAACTGATAGAGAATGAGATCACTGTTAGAAACAGATGTTTTCAGGAAAAGGAACGAGCGGTACCAGGGAGCGTAGCTAGGGCCCAAAAATATGCGAGGCGACTCAGGGTAAAAATAAAATAATACTATCATAAGACATCATTTATAAATACCCGTTTACATGATTTCGAAAACAGTGAAGTATTGTAGATCGTATTCAGAGATTATCCCATTCGTGACTTTTTAATCTGGTTGCTCTAGATTTTAAAACATGAACGAAGTATTGAGACATGATATAATCACATTTGTCTAATCAAAAAAGAGCTGTCAAAATGAATCATTCTTGGGTGTAACATGAAGAATAAAATGTCATATAGATAATACTTTGGAAAATATTAATTTAGTGCTTGGGCACTGGGATAGGGGTCATTTGGTCCAGTAAGGATCTATTGACTTACGTGGGCCTGTGCACCTTAAAGGGGCCTGTAGAGAGAAAATTCGAAATATTTTACTTTTTCTGAGTCATCGGGGCAACATTGGACTAAACATCTTCTTTGACATACCTATTTTCTTAAAATGTATGTATAAACTATCAATTTCAGCATTAAGAAGTGTAAATTCAGTTCAAAGCTTCTATAGAGGGAGTCACACTTATAGCTTTTTAAGATTCACCATGTTTCAGGAGGAATATCAGCTGAAATAATGTTCATCTAGGGAGTTTCCTTGGAAATAATAAAAATATATGTTAGTCTTAAAGAAATAACCAAACTTAAATATATTTTGACACTTGTCCGATCGTTGAATGGCCCCTCTGCACTCAGTGTTGCACCTTTAACATGGAGATATCAGCATATCCCAATAGAGACCATTGGTTTCCATTGATTATCACAGAAATACCAAAAATACACTATGACCTGAATCTACTGCAAACTTAATAATTTCACAATATGCCGCAAACGGTTTATCTCATCAAATGTGCAATATGAAGTTTTCAATCGATTCAGGTCATACTTTAGATTAAAAGATTGTACATTTTTTCATCATTTTCCCTTACAAAATGGCCCTAGAAAAATTATCAAATATCATACAACTTTGTAAAACCAAAGAATATACTATTATATATCATTATTTAGTAACATATTTGGATAAGATGTAGGGATGCGTAGGACGCAAATGGATTTTAATAGACACAAAACTACTTCCTGGTTTGGAATATACACCTCTACACTTCATAGTTAGTGAGGTAGCACCGAAAAATGTACCCGCTTCTGAACAAATTGAAATTACTTGTTTCTTATGTATTTTTATGTGATACTTCAGAAAATTTTTGTCTGATGCGCCGTATCCGGGGCGAAAGTTGTCAAAATTGAGTTTTTGACCCTAAAAAGGAAAATTCGTGGGGGTACATTATCATCATTGAATAATTCATTCAGTTGGTCTTCAATCAACAAAATAATTTTATCGAGAGTTGATGAGATCATTTTTAGGTAGTATGCAAAGTTTCAATGGTCTGTCACTCGTGGTTGCCATGGAAACCACAATTTTTGCTGAGAAAATCCTTAATTTTGGTAAAACCTGTACCTGTACATAATATAGAATGTGGATCAATTTTCAAATCAACAGATATCAGAACATTTTAGCATTTTCAAAATTACAAGGGCAGTTCAAACATTTATTTGAATATAAAGGTTATTGCAATTAACATAACTGGGGAGTGTCAAAGACCATACAATTACATAAGTGATCAAAAGTGGGCGTCGCCGTTATCATACTAGATGATTGCCATTCTCTAAAAATACAGAGTTTTACTTGACTTTTGAGATACATTTATAATGATGTTCTTTGGTTATACTAAATATGAAGCATTTTTGGTAAATAATGTACATGTTAGTGTTATACTTATTGCATTGGGGAGGGGGTATATGGGGGGGGGGTAACAGAATTGGAAGAGGGCAAAGCTAATCACCCTTAAGTATAAATCTCATCTACATAGTTCTGGATTTCATAGGGTTCATCTTCTGGGTCTTCTTCACATTCATCTGAATATATAGGATATTATAATTCTGCATGATTGGTAAGTATAAAGACCATAGAATTACTCAAGTGATCAAAAGTGGGCGTCGCCCTTATAGATTCATTCTCTATAAATACAGAGTCTAAGTTGACTTTTGAGATACATTTACATTACAACTTCTTTGATTATACTTAATTTCAAGCATTTCTGGTTAGAAATGCACATCTAATTATAATAGTTCTTGCCTGGGGGAGGATGGGGGAGAGTAGTAACAGAATAGGGAGGGGGCAGAGGTAATCAGCCTTAAGTATAAATCTCATCTGCATAGTTCTGGATTTCATGGGGCACCTCGTCTGGGTCTTCTTCATATTCATCTCAATATATGGGATATTACAATTTACAGGATTTGTCAAACACCATACAATTACATATTTATAAACAATCAAAAGGAGTGTCACCCTAACAATAGTAGATGATTGGTTCTTTGTATAAATACAAAATTGAACTTGACTTTTGAGATACATTCATAGTTATACTGAACTGCTGTTATAATTTATGTCAAGCATTTCTGGTAAATACATCTGTGTAAGTATTATAGTTTTTACATTTGGGCAGGGGTGAGTAGTAACAAAATTAGAATGTGTAGATCTAATCTGCCTTTAAGTATAAATCTCATCTTTTTAATTCTGGATTTCATAGGGTACATCTTGTGGGGTTTTCTGATTCATCTCCTGGTGTTGCTATATCACCAATCTCTTGTATGAGAATATCAGTCAATACCCACTGGAAAGATATGGAGTCATTTAGTTTCCATTCAAGTCCATCTGGTGGTTCACTACGAGGATTTGCAATATGGGCCATACAGACAATAAGTGCTTTATATGGATGAGATGGTTACAACAATCAGACAGTCATTCATTAGACCAACTTAGGAAAATTATCTAGAGATGAGATGAGTGTGACACCCATAATGACCTTGGAAAGGCACAAATAGCAAGTATAGAAGAAGACATAAAGATGACAAAAACCCGATCAAAGACTTCCTTGATCCATTTACCATTGAGGATGAAGGTCATCTCTACGGTGTATCATAAGGAAAATCTGTGCCAAATGATGTCGCTGCAGATCTCATCTAATTTTAGTCAAAGGGGGAAATTGCATGAAGAGATACCATCTGAGATTAGTTGAAAAAAAGATTTCATGATCTAATAAAACATATGAAATTGAAAACTATAGCAGCAAACTACAGCAGCAACAGTGACAGTGACAGTAAAAAAGTACTCAGAACAAGCTTATACAAATACATTCTGAATGAAACATCTTTGAACAGCTTCGATCTTGCTTAAGAACATAAAATTAGCCTAGAATGTCTCCTGCAGTTCCTATTGAGCCCTGTGCCTTGGGCTCTAGGAACACTGACTGGACTTCTTGCAAGAACAGAGAAACGCATCCCTATGCATGAACATGTACCCACAAGTGCCAAAGGGAAAGGGCCAAAATTTGTAATAGAACCCAGCAAGAAAAAGAAAACTTCTAAATGTATACAAGTCATAAGGAAAACAAACCCCAACTATCCCAAACCATAATTCAACTTGAAAGGTAGTTTTGTTTCTGGATCTGGTTGAGACTGTTTCAAGATTCTACAATTGCAGATTGATTAGTTTTTGTATGTGATAATTACATCAAAAATTCGATAAAGGAACCTGAAAGAGGGGAGGGACACCTTGCTCTATTTAAGGTAGAAAAACATGAGTCCCTAAAGATTGGAATTAGTTCTTGTATGATGATGAAAACAAAAAGCAAATACAGCAAAGTGTGCTGCTGGATATTTGAGTTGGAAACAAATGAAGACTGATGTCAGTGGTATTTCCTCCAATATAGACCCTGACATATATGCAGCCTTCCTAGCACTTCACACGTTCACAGATGAAGTGCCATGCAGAAGGGGCAATAGCACCTTTTTAAAAGGCAAAGGTGGAGCGCCACATAGATACACTCAACTGAATGACTCTCAAATCTGCAAGTGTAGTGGTATATTCTCCCACATGATATTGTTTATATATTAACATCGGGAGGTGAATGAAAATGATCAGACTATGATATTAATACTTAAGACTGACTGGCCATTGGCTCTGCCCCCTCCCATTTCTGCTACTACCCCCCTTGCCCCCCCACAGGGAATAAATATTACAATACTAAATGTAATCAAAGAAGTTTTAATTTAAAAAATAAATCTTAAAGTCAAGTTATACTCCATATTCATAGAGAATGAATTATCTACTATTGTTAGAGCAACACCCACTTTTGATCACTTATGTAATTGTATGGTCTTTGACACTTACCAATCATGTAAATTGGAATATCCCATATATTGAGATGAAGAAGACCCAGAAGTGAAGAAGACCCAGAAGATGCACCCCTTGAAATCCAGAACTAAATAAATGAGATTTACATTTAAGGCTTATTAGCCCTG